CGCCTGGCCGAACCTTTCTCTTTTGTGAATATACTGTAACATAACCAGACATTTTGCAGCATTAATCATTGCATAGGAGGTAAATTAAATAATTAATTCCAACTTGGCAACTAGATTAGCTTATGTTCATAGTTTCTTCTTTTTCTTTTACAGATCAGTTTTAAATAATTCCACAATAAAGCCCTCTTCTCATTCATGATTCATTTAGAATACAGCATAGTTAGAGTAATGAGTAATAAAATAAATCAGAACTTACAATGTGTGCATCTGTATAAAAACTTATTTTTGGGTACCTTTGACATGATTTTCAGTATTTGCGTATTGAAGTCAAGAGCACTTCTTAATAGAAGAAATATTTTTAGCAACTTAGTCAAAGGAATTAAATTATTGCAACACAAGGACATTAAAAAAATACCAAGGATCTTTATATATACAAATAGAAAAGCTTTGAACACATGGCATATAACTTATAATATGCTTGATTTAAACATGTAAACTCACGTATTAAGAAATTCCTTCTCACACTTTCTTACACCACAGAGGTGAGTGTGTTGAGACCGGCTTACATTTCTAATCAGTTTTACAGTGCAAAACGAAAGCAACAAAAAGAATTAAGAAAGAAATGTTGAAAATATTCAAGGAACAAGATGTGAACTTTCAATTAAAAGAAACCGCATGAGTTATAGCATGTAAATAAAAAAAAAACCCATAAAGACAGCCAACTTGGTGTTTCAAAGTAAACGAAGTACGGTAGTTATAAAGGGAGACAGTAATGATTGTGACAGTGAGAGGTAAAAATGTTATGCAGATTTTTTTTCATCAAATGGATAAAAGATTAGAATTGTGACTCCCTAATAATCTGAACACAGTCTTTTGGGAAAGGTTTAAAATGCTTTAAAAATAATTCCTTTCACATGATACTTCCAGATTACTGGGAAAAATAATAAAAAAAAAAACAAATGCCTTTTAAAAACTTGAAAATACATTTTAAAAAGTGGTATTTACATTCCCAGTCATACAGCATGTTACCACAAGGGGGCACTGGTAACACGGCAACGAACCCTAATGCGCTGTCCTCCAAGACCACTCTCCAGACAGCCTTCCTTCTACTGCAAAACTTGTTTCCCAAGATGCCAGTAAATTAAACAGCAAATTCACAATTAGTTCAGGCGGAACGAGGGGAGAGTGCTTTATTTTCAGATCTAGTGGAGAAGCTCAAAAAGTAGAACCTGAGAGAACTTCATTTCCATTTGAGAGCATTTAGGAAAAAATGTATCATCACGTATAGGACTTATAGATATTTCACAAACTAAATTATAGGAAAGAAACTTCAAAGAGGAGCACAGACTTACAAAAACAAGGGTAATGAGTAAGATCTATGTCTTAATTGGCAAAGAAAAGGTGCTCTAAGAATTTACTGTTTTAAAGAGAAGATGAAAATTGTTTTATATCCCAAAGTGGCATGTTGGGTTAAATCTCAAGTTTGCTTTCCCACGCGTAAATGAGTTTTGCTATTTCTCTTATTTTTCTCGTCTTGAAATTTCGACTCCCCTCTCCTCCTCATTTTCAAACCGTGTGCCTCCTCGACGTCTACCAGAGAGCCATGATACATACGTGTAAAGACCACGGGAGTAGTGGCCACCTCATTGGTGTTTTTAAAGTTCTTTAAAAGGTGACGGTATTATTTTCTAAAAACTGGATTACCTGACTAAAATGCAAGGCTTACTGTTTCAAGGTGTCCAATAATCAATACACAATGATTTTTTTAAAGCTTAAACACTTTTCCTCATTCAATCGAAGAAAAGCAGGTTATCCAAGACACAGCTGAGTAAGGCTCTAGGGTACATCGAATGGTTTTATTTGAATTTGAGGCTCAAGGAAAACACCAGTATTAGGAGAGCAAAACCCAGACTTCTATGTCAGATGGTTTTCCTTTTAATCAGAAAGGAGGAACTTGAAATGAGTGTTTTAAAGCGGAACGCCTAGTTCTAGCACAAGTGTTGCTATTTAGTAAATGAATAGAAGTGAAAATTACATGGAATTATGTCTAAACCCATCAAGTAAACTAGATAGGTTTATTACTGGTTCATTTATTGAGAAATACTGGAAAAATCCTTGTGTTTCGAAGCCTGCCAAGGATATCTGGGGTTTCAATTCTTGTTCAAAAAATCAAATTAGAGAGTCTTGTTTCCTACCTTCGAATTCAACTGCCTTTCCTTTAGTGGTTATTCTATGACATAAAGAGCCATTCTGAAAACATACACAGAATTTTAGCACCAAAGGATGATGAGTCTTCCGAACAGATTTGCATTGTGCTTTTCTCAAGCAACTTGAAGGGCAATTTTAGTCAAAGCTGACTAGTTTGTAACAATAAATTTAGGGATGTTTTCCATTCTAAGCGAAGGGAGAATTTCTCCTTCAGTACAGACCTAACAGCCTCTTCTACCCCCATGGGCACCTCCGCCCTCTGCCCTAGTGTTGATGATTTTGTAACCTTAAACCTGTTTCTAAGGTTACTATCATAGAAGTCTTGCAAATTCACTTCAAGTAGTTAAGAAATTAAGCCAAGAACTATCCAGAAGATTCAACAGCATTAAGTAATGCACTAAATCTGACAGCATCAAATCTTATCATATTTTTTTTTTAAAATCCATCTTTTCTGTATCACCTCAAAGAAATTTAGAAACAAACCTCCCCTGACTGTGTAGACATAACTAACGCACTGATTCCAACAGTGTGTGATAGTGAAGCACCATGTTATAATTTTCCCAGCATAAAAGTAAAATTATTCCATTGTGGTTTACGTCCTTAGGACCAGTTTATGAGAAACTGAGTTTCTTGCTTAAAGGCAAGAATACATTAAACTTTTGGGCTCCGTCTTGGTTTTTCCACAAAGCACAACATAACTAGGAAGAAATCATCTTCAACAAAATGTGACCAAATGTATTTCTGAGTTCTAACCAGGAGCCCTGAAACAGATCTCACCCCAGAGCCTGACCTGGAAGGGAAACAGGCTTGTTCCCAAGGAGCGTGAGCATCCGTTGACACATTTTCATCCTGTGCTAGAGCAGCTGACTGCCCTGGGTGTACCAGATCTAAATTTACCAGGCAGACAGCATTTAAGAGTGTACACAAGACCCACTTATTAGCAGAAAGATCCTGTTTCCTGTGTATCTGTCATGGAGATTTTAAAGCAAAATATTTTACACATATGTGAAATCCTTGAGGCATGTCAAATACTTTCCTATTTACTTGGATCACCTTTGTTTTTTAAAATAAAATTATCAGTTAAAACCAAAAAAAGTAGAAGTGACACATAGCACACTGGGTAGCAGCAGCAGCGCACATTCCCAGCCTGGCCCCGGCCTTCCCCGTAACCGGGCAGAGACAAAGTTCGCCCGGAGTTGACTCGCAACCCATGGGTCTCCCCTCGCTAAGCCTAATTAGGTTATTCTCAACGTTACGTTATTCCATTTACACAGCGGCTGTATAGATCCGGGTATTTTATTTAAAACATTAACAAATTCTTCTGACCTCGGGAGGAAAAAAATCCTGAAAACATTCTGAAGTAGAGGGTTGGAGTGGAGAAAGAATAAAGAAAGGAGTAGCATGTTCTTTGGCACCTTCAACAAGCTCATCAGTCAAACCCCAGCTGGAAGGCTTGTCGCCAGTGAAGGAAGAGCTGCAGGAGAATAGATCTTTGTCAGGAGGAATAAAAAAAGCCAGTCAAAGGGGAATACTCTGTTCGTCTTTCTAATCATTTACACAAAATTTGGTCCACTTCTTCATTTGCCAGTCCGTTCTCCTAAAATTAAAGTAACAAAACAATACCTTTGGTTATAGCGTTAACTCTTTTGGCCTAAGAGCTGATGCCTTTGTTCTGCTTCTCAGGTAGATTTCTCATTATCTTCACCGATCTTCTGAACCCGTGAATACTTTTTGCACGAGGATTTGAAGCAGCCAGGAGGCCAGGACAGGGGCCAGGAGAAGCAGCAAGGAATTGAGCCTTGTACATTTTTCTCAAAAAAGTAAAAGATGGGAAACCACCAAGCCCGAGACAAGAAATTAGTCTGTGAAGAGACCTTCAAGTTCTGTAAATGGTAGGAAAAAAAAACAAAATGAGACATACCTTTCTTGACTCACACCTGAATTAAACTGTCATTCGCTGTAACTTAACGGGGTGAACAGAACTCTGATCCGGCGCTGTGACCACCCTCGTGCCCTCTCCCTAACTCCGCGTGGCGGGTCCCCGGCACACACGTGCCTCTCCCTTGCTGTGGCTCATGCCATTTTTGCTGCCTGCAACTCCAGAAGAGCAGGGACTCAGGGAAGGGATGTGAGGCTGATTCCGGAGGGATCACTCTCAGCATGTGCGAGTGGGCAGATCTGGGGGCCGAGGAAGTCAGAGAGTGGAAGGAGCTCAGAAGCTTGAACGTATTTAAGAGGAAAGACAAAAATTTTGGCTCGGCGGTGTCAGCAGACATCTAGATGGAAGCGTAAGGAGGAAGATGGGAATAGGAGACGACAAAGTAGGAAACAGAGCTACAAAGAGAGATAAAAGTTACCCACAGAACAGGCATTTATTAGTGGGCAGCAAGAGTTGGATGCGGATCCTTTGGCAATGAGGTATTTTAATCACTCACATGTTCTCTAAACACTGCGCGCAGCAGACAACACGGCAAGTTTATTCACAGATAAGTCGGTCGTGGTACACGGACTAACTCTACCACACCAAAGACCCATGCCCAGGCTAGGAGAGCACAGAGAAGGGGAGGAATAATTCTACCTTGGGGCCGGAGGAGAAGAACAGGAGTTAGGGAAGGCTAACCCCAGAAGAGGTGGCCTTTGAACTAGCTCTTTAAGAATGGATGCGAGGAGAAAGAAAGGGTCATCCGGAAACAGGAAGGAGCAGAAACGAGTAAGAAAGTACAAGAAGGAAGCCAGAGAGCACTGCGTCCACAAAAAGTGTACCAAGTCCAGGAATGCATGAGCTATTTATTTTGTCTGATTTTAAAAATAACTGCCATTTTTTCCTCAAAATTAATTTAAGTCCTTTGAGGGCAGGGACATGTCTTACCTCACTGCACTAGTAGGTTCCTAGACTTTTTTTTTTAGTGCCCCGAAGCCACAAATGCAGGTTTCTAGACTTTAACTTAGCACATACATCTTCAATTCTACTCTACATTGGTTGAATCAGTAAAACAGTGCTCTATAATTTTACGGCATTTTTTAGCCTTAAATGACACCTATGTCTTCGAAGTTCTTTATTTCACTTTAAGAAGCAGTAACGGATGGGAGTGCAAGTGAACGGACAGAAACCACACACGCGGGTGGCGACGGCATCGTTCCCACCGCGCTACGCAAAACCCCGCTGCGTGAAGAGGGCCCGCCGCAGTTAGAACAAACTCCCCAGGGACCCGCGCCGCTCTCACCTTTTCATTGGCCATCGAGTGGTACCACCAGAACAGCCGTGTCGTGATGTAGTAGGCGACGATCACGTCGACGGTGTAGTGTTCGTGCGCCACCAGGATGCAGATGATGCCGGCGGCGCTCAGGAGCCAGCAGGTTAAGTGATACCACCAGAAGTGGCGAGGCGAGTCTGCGCGGTGGGGAATCAGAGTTAATGGACTCCCGGAGATGAACTGGACGGTCGCAGTCTGTCCTAAGGACCTCACGTGGAATACTCTAGGATCAGGAAGCCACGAGAAGAAAACTGGTGCCCTAAAACAAGTCACTGTGAGGTGCCCAGGATTTGCTCGGGTAGGAAGAGGGCCCCTGGCAGAGGGTCTCAGAGTCACTCACCGGGAGTTTGGGGACACAGACAGCTGAGGTCTTGCCCACCGCTCTTAAGCTGTTTAATAAGGAAGAGAATGGGACTGTTGCTTTGGAGCTTGGCTGGAATTCGCTTCTACTGGCTCACGTCAAGGACCCCACCGGGAAGAAAAACAGTAGGGATCGAAAGAAAAGGTAGCATGTTACCCGGTTATTGCCAAGGGCAACTATAAAGCACCGCCTGTGTCAAGCTTGGGACTGGTGCCCGCTCACTTCCAGACTTTTAGCCTTCCCGGTGCAGCCCTAAGACGCTCGGTCACTGGAATCGCGGGTCAGCGGTAAGACAGAGAGAGCTACGGCGCTCACTGGGTCCAACGAGCTCGCACACTGCGAGGGCTTCTCACGCGAATGATGACGACAAGCACAACTGCAATCAGAGCTCCTCTCTAATAACTTGGTCATCTGGGTTTTTTTTTCTTTCCTATTTTAAAGCTTTAGTAGTTCACAAGTTAATAATATAATACAATAACTTCATATCTAACTGTGTTTACGTTCATAGCGATATTTAAAGTGTAGAAGAAAGGCTGAATAGCGAAAGGATCCATTTCTAGAACTTTAGATGAAACTCCGAGTCAGGTATCATTCAAATAAAAAAATATATTTTGGCCAGGCGCGGTGGCTCACGCCTGTAATCCTAGC